ACGCGCCGCGCCCGGGCGCTCAGCCCGTCCAAGCATTTAGTGTACGTATGTGTGCACTTAGCACGAGTTGATCTGCCACATCCTATTCGTTCATATTTGATAAGATTATATGCAAGATCTAGGCCAGATTATATGGGAATAACACTTGAAACTAGATTCGCGGATGAAATTGAACTTTCGACCTAGTTTAAATTCCGAGTGTATTTGTTCTAAGTTGGGGGTATATTCATACATTTGAAGGCGAATAGAGCGTGGCGGTGTTAACGTGCAGCCAATATATTCCAATCTGAAGCGAAATATTGTGTATGGGGCCATTACTCAAATATTTTTAATATCCATGCAGATGCAGCATTTTAAGTGATCGTTAAACAGGGTTTCTCTAAATTTCGAGTTCATGATTTTAAATTCACTAATATACAGATCTCTATTGATCGTACACAATTTGTTCTGTTGTTATACAGCTTGTACCCAAAGCACAGGAGAATCTAAAGGGAAGTTAAGGTAAACTTGGATCCAGATTTATTTTCAATTTTCTTCATATTTCATCTCCGATTATAATGAAGTAACGAGCAAGCTTACAAGTCATCTATTAATCACGTAATGTTTTAACCTCCCCCTCCCTCTCAACGTTGTCCTCTACCCAAAATCACGTGTAAAGCACAAAAATCAGTGTCACTGGCAAGTGGCACTGATTTTCAGCATTGAAGTCGTATACTCGATATACTGCCTATCCTTGTGATATTTAAATATTCTTTTCCCCCCTCCCAAGCATCACGTGATTCGTGGACGATCCGTTAGGGCTATATTTCACCGGGAAACCATGGCGGCGTAACCAGTCGCCGGCTACCAACAAAATGTATACAGCTCTATAGAGAGTTACTCACCTGGTGTCCGTTTGGTTGCGCAAAGCTGTATGCATTTTGTTGGTAGCTGCGACTGGTTGCGCCGCCATGGTGTCCCGGTGAAATATAGCCCTTATATGTGCGGTTTTATTAAAGGCATATTTTATGAGCTTGGTTACATGCTGTATGGTATTCAGATTACCATATTTTTACAACTATGGGGTGAAACCCGGTGACTGATTCCAACTCCTAAGTCATGTAATTACATTGCATCAGTTACATGAACCTAATATATCATTGTGGAATGTTTCAACAACATTTTCGAACTATGCGATGTGTTTTAGTGATGGGTGGTCCTTTATACTTAACCTTAACTAAATTAATTAGTCATGTGTCAACTGTATTAGATATCTTGTTGTTGTATTCCAATGTATAGAATACCAGACCCAGATTGTAATTTACATTGTTAAATAATGATTGACGCAATACTAGATCTAAAGAGAAGCAAATCCCCTGGACTATGAGATTTGAATACGTAGATTGAAATAAGACAAGATTTTTGAAACTTGACTTAATGGTTATTTTTATTTATCGATATCGTAATAATCTAGCTGAAATAAAATGTGAATAGCAAGCTTTTGTCCGCGTAAATATCGATAAATATGTATGAATATACTTAACTCGTGCGCGTCCCCTTTTAAAAACCGGGATAAAAACTAGTAATGATTTTTAATTAAACCTTTTAAGTTGATAAAAATATATTTAAAATACAAATTATAAATTGGGATTTGTGCAGCTATTTAGATCAAGCAGTGTGATACGTAATTAAATATACATACATTAAATAAGTAATTTCCAAGATAGTAGTAACTATTCATGCTATTAAATTTTACGAAAGTTGTTTATTTGTTATATTATTATGATTAAAATTTCAAAACTGTGAAAAGCTTTCTTTGCTTTAGTGACTGAATTTTTCAAACTGTTTAAAATTAAACTCTAATGACCCTTTTAAAGTACTGCTGTACAACTTATGATTATTTGAATGAATATTTATGTAATTTGTTTGAGCTGGAGATATTTTCCATTCACTTTCTAATCTATCAATTTATTTATATGGACTATGCATTACTTATATTAGTTAGTTATTTTAGGTATTCCATTGTTCGATGTGAATAATTTTGTTTGATAACTGTATTTCATGCACTACTTATTATGAACGGGAATGTTAAGTTAAATGTTGTGTATTAAAAATCTATGTACATATTTAAATTGTTGTAAATAATTAATATTCTATCTCAAATATTACATAATAAAATAAGTTGATTTTTAGTTCTTATTTATGCAGTATGTATCAGTTGAATACACAAATCTGTGTATTGTGTGGATCGTTAGACTGTTGAAACATAAAAATAACTAAAGTAATTGCACTCATACAAAAAATTGTTGCACTTTGTGGTGTTTTCTGCAATAATAAGTAAAAATAACAAAACCAAAGATTAACAAATTATGTTTATATGCATTTTCTAACCACATCTTTGTGCTTTTCGGTGCCAACGTAAATGTAATTTTAAGTTCCGTACACTCGTGTGATTGCTCTTTTTGAGTGAACTGTTCCGGTGCTTGTCGTTTTTGAGACTCGTGTATGAAATTGTTTTTACTTAAGTAATGTATCTTTATATCTTCTTTCTTACATGGTAGTAATTTGAATTTGTTATTCTCGTTTCCATTTTTTAAATTAAATATGGACGATTGACTTGTGGCTCTGATAGCTGATAGATAGGTCATTCCCTGCTTGGAGTAGGAACCCGTGACAAGTCGTGCTGTGACTGGCGTGTTGTATGATCGAAAGTCGTCACCTGCCTGCAAGACATTGAAGTTCTTTTCGGAAACCAGCCTTTCCATTTTTTTAAATGGTGGTATTTCTCCCCATGCAGCGCACGACGTGATTGTACTGTCTAAAGTTATTGTTTTTCATGTGGCTAATCGTGTACCCTTCATTTAAATTTAATGTCCATTCTCCACCTATTTTCCTTAATCGTGTCGGCTTTGGCATACTTCAGGATAGGAGAGGAAACTATTATCCTACGAAGCTACTTAAATACGGTGCAATAAACCTCGGATTAGGGAGGCGCGTTCTAAAAATATCTAGGAATATACATGAAGCCATTATAGTTCGGATTCTAAAACAATAGATAGTTATGAACGCCACAATAATGTTATCAACAGTTTAACTGCTAGGCCTGAAGGTTGTCACAGTCAATAAGACGGCGGGAGGTTACTTGATGTTAAATCGAACAAAGTTTATCAATAGAACAAAAACTTAAATATCTCAATTTTGTTATTACAGTAATAATTATTTCACCTTGTTCTGCTGGTAATCGGGATGAATGAGTAATCTTGCCTAAAATAGATTTGTTAATGTGGCATAAAATAAATTATTAGCAATCCAAGTCACTTTTATGATTCCAGCAGAAAACTGTGATAATGATAAATACTCATTTAATTCAATTTTGTTAGAACCATTAAGTTTTTATAAATACATAATACTAACCAGTAACCAGCCAATTTATAAAAAAATATTCCATAAGTCTGTCTGTGCAATATATTGGATATTCAATGAGAGCTTTGTAATTTGTACATTTATATTAAATTTGTATGATTGGAGTACATCTGTTAATAGTATAGCTTTATAGCATTTTAAACTGATATTCTAATAACTGTGTACCTGGTGGCCATCTGTATTTGGCATAAATTAAGCTTTTGCAAAATGTCCAAACCTGTAGCAAATAATTAGATCTTGTATAATGTATGTATCATTACAAGTTATTAATAGGCATTGTGTATTTGATTTGAGACTTCGAATCAAAGGACTATTGTCTTGCCAATAAAAACGGAATTTAGAAATTATTGTTTTCCAGTATTGCATATAATTTATAAAAACATTAATGTTGTATCAAAGAATCTGTTTTATAAACAAATAAAAATATATAGTACCTATAAAATATTTTTTTAGTTTGAATGTTCTCTTAAAATGTTTGTCTCAAATAAATGTAAAAAAATATGCATTTGTTTTAAATTCATAAAATTAATTTGTTTAGGACCCGGCTATATTTTATTATTATAGCACATATATTTTCTTATCATGATCAAAAGCAGAAATTTTCAAATTAGATTTTACACTGATGCAAATATTATCTTTTCTGAAATTGAAGGGATATTAGGTGGATGTCTAGTTCCGGTAGGTATTGTTAAAAATTATGAACGACCAAACCACGACCAAACGCAACAACTCGTCTAGTAACTAGAAGAGACTGCTTTGCTTCATGATTAACTGAAAGAAGTTTAAAACTGTTTAGGGTTCCGTACCTTAAAAGGAAAAACGGATAGGTACCATAAAGGATCATTCCTTTGACGCGTGGAGATACGGTAAGCGTCAAAATCCCTGGATCATTAGTTAGAATTTATTGTTATGATGATTGGGTTGATGCTTACGAGGTATCGAATTGATATTAAAACTGCAACTCTATTCAGATGATTTACAGTCCCAAAAAATCAAACTTCTAAGTAACAAAAAACATAAAATACAGGGCTGTATAAGACGCAAAAAATAAACTTGTATTTCGAAACACTAAAGGAAATCTTTTCCATTGTATCCTAAATAAACCTTAATTCCAGGAACAAACTATCTAATAGTCTATACCATATACCTACAAGTTTGTACGGAACTTTCGTAGCGCGAGTTTGACTCGCACTTAGCTGGGTTTTTATTATGCATTTCCCTATTACGTAAGGGCAGTCAATGGCAATGGTGTGAAAAAAGCTTTGGTTTTCTATGCTAGTGAAAGAATTTCAACATAATATCACTAACTAGCCTTTTAATACTATTAAAATAAATAAAAATGACGTTAATGGTTATTCCTTACTGGTATTTTGGTATGGCTTCACTAATCGGGGCTTATAAACAAGTCCATTTACGTACTGAAGTCACACTTAATCACTCATATTATGGGTATTGAGTGATTTTCTGGATAAATAGGAAATTGAAGAGTACACTTCTGAAGCGTAGGTAAGTGAAATCCAAAAGATAACCTACCTTAATATTCAAAATCAACATTAAAGACCATTTATGACAGTATTATTTGATTTATTTACCTTTGCTAGTTATACATTGGTAAAAATATTAATGCTATGAAACAATTTGACTTAGCATTTGGTTTGTAACAATAAATTCACGCATAATAGTTAATGGGAGATAATTGTAGTGGTACAGTGTTTTGATAAACAGATTTCATAGTAAAACTGTTAATATAAGTTTTATTATGAAGTTGTCACAGTATTTATGAATAAGGAAACGGTAGCAAAGCTTCATTGAACCAGTAGTACTTTATCTTATGTGCCTAAGAAATAAAAGTTTCCTAAAATATTTTACACTTGATCATGTTAAACTATTAAGAAAGTTAAGCTAATTTCCTTTATCATTTCAGTACCATAATTAACCAATTTAAGAAAATAAGACCTTTAATTTTCATATAATAAATGAGAATAGATTATAAATAATTATACCCATATTTATAAGCAACCATATCAAAAGTTTGAAATGGATAGATGGTTTATACATAGATATAGGTATAACAATCACTTACCTAAAATCAAGATGTCAGTAAAACTAGCCTTAATCATACCAAAAGCAAGTTTAACTTCTTAAAAGGCCACAATAATTTAGGTAATATGATAAATAAATGGGTGTTACCCTCTAAGTGGGTAAATTACAGCTGTTGAGATGATTCTTACAAAATACATAATTATTTACCCAATCTACAGTGACAGTTGCAGTCAGAAGAAAATGCTTATAGAATACTTTAATATAAAGGAAAATAAATGCATTGTTATAATAAATCTATTTGATTTTGAAGATACAAAACAGCACAGCAAGATAATAAGCTCATAAATCACATTTATAGAAGAAATTATTCATAAAAACTATCAAAATAGGGATCAAATCTAGCAAATAGTTCATCAAAGTAGATTGGGTCCATTAAGACGTGTTTTAGCAAGAAGAGAACTAAAAAGTGCTTCCCTCTGGAGGCTGAGACAGCTTCATGTTTTCCTTCAGTGTCATGAGACGTCTAAGCTCTTGAAGAACTGTCTTGATAGTGTAGTCGCGTTGCCATCTAGCAAGGATCGGGACTTGTCTATTGTCAACCTGTAATCAACATAACAAATGTTAGTTTATAGAGACAATAGAGATCAGACTTTACTTATATGCATTACTTACAAGTCCTGTCTGGCTGTTCACGCAGTTCATGTTGATTCTAGAAATAAATCTAGCAGTTGGTGGTTCATCAGGGTACCGAGTGCCACATTCAATTTTAAGTGAGTACATTCTATTTTCATAAGGAGTCTGAAAACAAAATAAGTGTTACATACAGAAGTTAAAGTATGTTGCATTGAAAAAAAGCTGCTGAAATAATTACCCTAGGGGGTCCGATTATCATGCCAGTCCAGTGAGTTAGAGTCATGTCATCGTCGCTTTCCAGTCCCCAAGAAATGGTGCCATCACCCACTCCCTTCTGCCCTTGTTCAAGCTCTTCAAGGAGGCGAAAGTTGCGGGGTACAACTGTAGAAAATAAAGTATATTTGAAATAAGTATTGCCATGAAAAATCAAGATGATAACTGCGAAACAAATACAAAATAAAACATCTAAAAAATCTTACCAACGCCTGATGACGGATTCGCCATGATCACGAATTTCACCGGCGCACACTACTTACACAATTACTTTTGCCAGTAGTTTTAATATGCCGGCATTTACTATAAAAATGATTTTTGTTGCTTCAACACTTGCGAATCTACGTTTATTTTAGGATGAGGAATTTATTACTCAAATAATTCTGATTTTTTCAATCAAAGAGTAGGTTAGCAATTTTTTTTGCTGACTTTGACAAATGTCATCACTCTTTTCTCTATGACAATGCCAAGCCCTCAACAAAGGTTTTTCAAAAATCAAAATTAAATGAATAGCTAGAATTATTATTCTTTCAGGGATAATAACGCATGAAAAATATATTAATTTAAGGTATTTTAGATAATTTATCAACCAAAGTTTTGAATTTTCATGTTCCTCATAAAATGGGGATGATGTCTATGAGTGAATGTCATTAATTTACGTAAATAAAAAAAAAGTTATTGTCTGTGGGTAATGTCGAGCGCCGTGGACTTGTGGCTGTGAAAATTTCCTTTTCCAAGGCTTTTTGCTATTTTGAAATACACATGGTTATCTTTATTTTGGTGATTGTTTCTTTAAATAACAGATAAGAAAATTCGGCAGAATTATGATCAGTGCTGTGATTTGATAAAGTGATAGTGCAGTTTTGGAGGTAAAATGCCCGCTTCCATTTGCGATCCAGTATCAAGCGCATTGCGTTTATCTCTTACAGCAGATGAATCGCAAAGTTCTTCTTTGTTGGACAGCAGAATATATTCTTCTGCTAAAAGTGTTCTCCTGACGAAAATAGACTTTGAAGAATCAGGGGACTTTCAGAGTAATGTTCTTGACGGGTTGAAGTCTAAGTACGTGGTGATTCGACCTAAAAAAACAGTGCTAGAAAGTAAAATTCTTAAAAAAGAAGGATCTTCTAGTAATCAGACAACAGGTAAAAATATCGCCTAAAATAGTTTAGAAAGAACACTGATAAATAAATTCAGCATGCATGTTAAATATAATTTAGAGGTTATATTAACTGTAAACTGTCAATATTTATAAACTGCATAAATTCGAAGTAACCTTTGCGTGTTTTGACATTTATGTAAACAAAATGTTTTTCAGATGGTAATAAACATGGTGAAGAAGGACTACCTAAACCCAAAAGGGTTCTTTTTCCTGTTGAAAAAGTGCAGTTGGGATGGCAAAGTGCATGGGCTGCAGGAGCTGGCATGCAGAATGTGGGAAACACATGCTACCTCAACTCCACACTGCAGGCACTCTTCCATGTGCCTGCTTTAGCTAATTGGTTGGTCTCAGAATCAGGGCATGCTGAAAAATGTAACCAACAAGGTACATTTTCAATTGTTTTTTAAGATCATTCATTGGTAGCAGATATGATAAACAGCTACCTACATCTTTTTTTACGAAGCTTGTGATGTTATGATAGTAATCAATTTTCTGTTTCTTTATTATTACAGAAGCATGTGTAATATGTGGGATGCGTGCTACATTGATGGCAACTCAAAAAAGTGGAGGAGCACCTATTAAACCCTGGCAAGTTTATTCCAAGTTACGTCTTATTTGCAGACATTTAACACCAGGTCGCCAAGAGGATGCCCATGAATTTTTGAGGTAGAAACCATTTATGTGTTATTATACCTGTAACAAAGCCTTATTTCTATGGCAGAGTTGCACTTTGTCACAAATATTTTGATATAAAACCTAGCTACCTACTTTTGAAGTTTGTGCCAACTTTTATTGTATTTATTTATTATGCTTACATTTGTGTCAACAAAGGTTTTATTTTATTTAGATACCTGGTAGAAGCAATGGAAAAATGTTACCTGTCACGTTTTGTGAATTCAGACAAGTTGGATCAATATAGCAAGGAAACAACACCTATGAACCAAATATTAGGTGGCTATCTGAGGTCTACAGTTCGGTGCTTGGCTTGCCATCACCTATCAACCACTTATCAGCATTTCCAGGCAAGTATAACAATATTTATATTAATAAATAAACAAATCCTTTGAAATATGAAACTCTATTTGAAAAGGATAAAATTCTTGATTTTTGAAGAATTTTGATCCTCATCAATTATGTCCTTTTTTCATACTCTCTTTAATTTTCATCTATTTTTATTTGCAGGATTTGCTTCTGGATATTAGAAAACATTCAACATTAGATGAAGCACTTGACTCCTTTTTCTCAAGGGAGAGATTAGAAGATTTGGGATACAAATGTGAAGCATGTAATAAGAAGGTAAGTTTCTTGCCCTAAAATGCCTATAATGATTCATTTTTCAAAATTCTCTTTTTCTCTAGATAGGTACGTACTTATTATTTTTTGCTTTTTAGGTGTCTGCCACAAAACAGTTTTTCATTGAACGGGCCCCTATGGTGTTATGCATTGCATTGAAAAGGTTTTCGCTGACAGGAGGCAAGCTTTCAAAACATGTTCAATTTAGAAAAAAGATAACACTAAATAAATATATCTACAACAAAAACAACAATCAACAGCTGGTAAGCTTTGTGATTTCAAATGTTCATTTTTAAAGAAGAAATTAATTGGAAGTATGTATAAATGTATTTGTATTGTTTCAGTCATACAAGTTGGTGAGTTTAGTGACTCATCTTGGTCCGTCGCAAAATTGTGGACATTATACAGCAATTGGCCAGGCACCAAATAGTAATTATTATCAGTTTGACGACAGCTGTGTGAGACCACTGCCTTTGTCAGCTGTTCTCGGAACAAACGCTTACATAATGTTTTTTGAAAAAGACAACAGCACTGAAGACACCTCCGTCCCCACCGCATCCACTTCCAGTGCCGTGTACGGCCCTCAATTACCAGATAGTATTATAAGCAGGGAAAAGAGCCCTCTCAAACTAACATTTTATAGAAACGATGAAAGAAAACCAATAGTCCTCAACAGCACATCCACCGAGGCTAATCAATCTGAAAATAAACCGATAATCTTGAACAGCACACTGAGCAAGTCATCGGAGTCCAGCAACTCCAACAGCGAACCCTGGGTGGTCAAACAGAACGGGGAGGTGGAGAAAGTGGTTCAAGCTCCTAAAATATTGAACGGAATCGAGAAGAGCAATTTTAAACTCGACGAGGACAAGAAAATAAGTTTCGTAATCAAGAGGCAGAACGGGGAGGAGAAATCGAAAGCGAAAGAGACGGAAGCCAGGTCGAGCAACGGCGTCGCGAAGACTCCGGAGAAGGCGTCGACGAGCAAGCTGGTGCGGCCGCCGAAGTCGCCGCTGGAGAAACTGGAGGAGCAGATGAACCGCAGCGACTCGTCGAGCGGCTCGCGCGCGCGCCTCGTGCCCTACGACTCGGAGTCCAGCGGCGACGAGGCGCGCCCGCGCCGCCCCAAGCCCAGCCGCTGCCGCTCGCCGCCCGGGCTCGTCGTCACCACCAAGGGCATGCACCACGCCTGGACCGTCTCCAGCGAGAAGAGCGGCCCGCTGCTCAGCCCCAGCCTCAACGGCGTCACCAACAAAAAGTTAGTCTTTGATTTCTAATTAGAACATTCAAATTAACGTTCAATTAAATTAATTGGTAGGTTGGCAAATATTTGGAATTTCTTTCTCGTAATTATCAAGATTTGCGTCATATCAATTAGCAGGGCGGTTTAAACAGAGTTATCATTAAGTCAAGTTTTTTATCAAAACATTTGTACACAAGTATTGACTCAATACTATGGAGTACAGGCTTACTAATATGCATGAAGACAGTGATTTTCGAAGTTACAATTTTAAATTATTATTTTCTCAGGGTGAAAGAAAAGGAGGAAAACGAGCAGAGTCCGAACACGAGCGTCAGTAGCATGTCTCCGCTCAGCGACCGCAGCTCGCCCGCCGCCGCGCCCGCTCCCGCGCCCGCGCCCGCGCCCGCCTCCGCTCCCGCCAACGCGCCCGCGCCGTCCTTGCTGCCGGGCGAGGCGGCGCGCCACCTCAACACGCTATCTCACCGCGGCTACGGCGCGCCCGTTGCCTCCTGGAATGGAACCCACAGCGCCATGTCCAGACAGGTGAGCTCAGATTATTGTTTTCTAAATTTCCTTGACCAAGAACCCTTCTTTGTTTTAGAGCGCTGATAACATGACGTGTCTGTGATTGAATGCGATTCCTATAGATGTCCAACTCCAAGCACTGGAAAGCCATTATTGATCACACCACCGCTGGTGCAGGAAATAGCTGTAATATAATTCTAGTTTTGAATTTAAAGGGTCAAGCAAGAGTATCCTCGATTCAGGACAAGTTAAGAAAATGTTTCCCTAGGCTTGTTTTCCATTGCGATTGACCGTCAGCATTGGAGGAATTCAAGGACAAACTAAAAGGCGGTTTGGGTGATTCTAAAGTAAAAGTCTGAGCATGGTGTTTGACCGTAGGTGTTCGAGGAGAAGCGCGACGAGCGGAAGCGCGCTCTGGAAGCGAGCGACGAGATGGACCGCGGCCGCAGCAAGAAAGTCAAGAAGTTCCACCACTACAACCGCTTCAACAACAACAGGAATGGATACAACCCCTTCCAGGTAACAACCTCGAATGCTGAAAGCTTAACCTTATACTGGAAGATATAAAGCTTAAAATCCATTAAATGTTTTTTTTGACCTCAAACCTTACTAGATTGTGCTGTACAATACTGTACATGAGGCGTAAGACTCGGTAGACTACAGACTTAGTCGACCGATAGTTGAGTCGGGCTGAATCATTATGAATGGAAGTGAGCACATTACACCGATTTGGTCTCGGCCGATTCCTCATACAAATAAGAATCCGACCCAACTTTCGGCGGACTAAAAGTCTAGTCTAAGGGGTACCTAAAAGGTGTAAAGGCTTCATATTTTGCGATCTATTATTATTATGCAGTACATCCGTATTTATATTATCGTTTGTTTCCAACAGGAAAAGCAAAACAAACCCCATTGGGGAGGAAACTTCAAGTATCGGAATGAGCGCCGTCCACCGCACCACTTCAATAAACATCACAACAATAAGTACAACAAAAGATTCAACCGGTGAGTGTTGTAGCTTTACTTTTTCGTGTTATCGAAATGGCTTATCGCGGTCGAGTTCGTAACTAACTAATGCTGTGTTTCATTAACACAAATGTGCACTGCTTATACGATAATACATCTAGTTAACATTTAAGGTTTTATAGCATTTAAAATATTTTAAAATGAACTTATTTATTTCTAGGTACAGCAATGGGCATCACTACCCGAGGCATCATTGACCCAGGTCAAACATAGTCCTTCTAAGGTGTATATAGATACTCTGGACATAATTATTAGCTAATCTTCTAATAGTCATGCATAGTGATAATTGCAACATGTATATTCATATAAAAAATTGCTGCCGCGTCAAATTAATAACTAGCAGCCAGACCATTGATGCATGTTATAAAAAAACAAAACGTTCGTCAATATACTGCCAAACAGCCTTTCCATACCGCATAAACGCAAAAAATAAAATAAAATATATACATGATACTATACAATTTACGTGTTTATACATATTATTCTTGTTTATTCACGGTTTGCATTTGAAATGCAGTGATAACTCCTAGTTTGATGATTTATTGATTTACTTATTGATGTAAATTGTGCAGGCAATAGCCGTCGTATTGTCTAATCGGGTTTGTCCTGTGACTTTTTGCATTTGAATAATGTCTCGGTTTTAATGAGAAATATTGACTGCAAAGTTTAACTTCTTAGTTGTGTAGTTGTTTTTTTATTATTAATTATTTCCTGAACATGGCTTGTTTGTTACCTTTTATGAAACATGGTTATCAAAGGTAATGAACATTATTATGAATATGCCGGTCTGAGGTCTTACTTATTGATACTTTCCGTATAATATTGGGACGTTAATCAAACTATCTGGCATTGATTCATTATTAATTTTAGTGTAGTAAAATATTCAAAAAATAATAGTCAAACTTTTGAAAACATAAAATTAAAGCTCTATCTAGATGTAGGCTTTTCGTCAATCCCTTCTCGTTAGTCCCTACAGCTATAATAATTGTTATTGGTTCCATTTTATAATCATGTACTTCTTGTCTATTTGTTACTTCATTCAGCATGGATGGTATAGGACATACTACCGGTTGTTGAATGAAATACTAAACATTGCTCGATTTCCGGCAATGTTACGGGAAGTGAAATAACCTCGTAGTATGTCTACACTGAAAATACCATTATAAAATTACTGTAATATAACATTTCTCTATTATAATACTATTCACAATATATTTAAATTAAATTTATTAATAGAAATTCAAAATTATCCAATTCGGTACAATTAAGGTACTTGTCTTATTTTCCTCGTTTGCAATTGTTTCTTTTAATTCAGATTTACCTGTTTGTTTTATTTTGAATTTTCTTTGCCAGAAATAAGATTGTGATTTATATTTTTAATTGTTGTAAATGGTTATAATGGCAAGATGTTCACGTTATGCGAGGTTTTCTTTTAGATGAGTAGGCCACCCCATTGGAATATATCCAACACGACAACGCAGTTAAGAGCATTTTAAAAAGAACAGTTATATTTTAATGTTATTTTATTTGTACTGTACTATACGACCTTTGTTTAGAGATAGATTTAAGTATTTTATTTCGATTACATTCTTCAGACCCATGACCGTTTCTAAAAAATTGGGCACCATTATCATCTGATACGTTTGGTAGTTAAGTATACCTAAGTTTAATGAATGTGTATTTGAATTTATTAGAATACATTTGTTGCACAGATATACGCGTCACTCGCGTGCTGCGATGACGAGCATAGCGGTATTGACTTTGTCTTATTCAATTAAAATAGAGATATTTTATAACCGAAATAATTAGCAGTAAGTTACACACGTTGTTAACGAGAGACTTGTTTATTATGCGTAATTAAAAGTATTTAGCGGTGAATCGTCTCAATACTTCATCAATACTTAATTCATATTAGTTGATTAACCTGGGATTTCTGAATTTTAGCTCGAGCGTGCTGATCATAATATGATCATAATAAAATCTTAATTCAGAAACCGGGAGTAAGAAATATTTCGCTTTGCTATTCGTATGTACGAATTTGCGGGAAATTCAGAAATAGGTTAGGTTCTCTTGCACACTGAATTATACGGCCCAGTATAGACGGTAGCCAAAGGTAATACAATCAATATTATCTCTTGGCTATTGATTCTGTCCACTGGCCGCAAGACATCTGCTGGGCTGACAGCAGAACTGGGAATGCGCAGACGCTTCGATGGTGAAGTATCATGGCCGTCTTGTCAAACTCTTGAGAAAAATGATAAGTTGGCACTAAAATGTCATTATACGTGCACAGTTTTAGTGCCGGATGCGAGTTACGTCGTTCCCGACAGTGAAAATCTTGTCGAGCGAAAATGCTTAACGCAAGTTCAGTAACGAAACAGTTTGTATAGATTGAAATGCGTGCCTATACAGCCGCGTAAACCAGATCGGTAAATGCCTTTATTCTTTGTAACATTTTTACAGAATATTAATATTTTACAGAATAATAATATTGTTAAGAGGTCTATTTGAGACGAATCAAATCTGTTGTTGTTTATGAGACGCATTCTTAAAATTTAACAGTACAAAAAATTAACACTGGTAAATTAATAAAATATGTTATCTGTGAATTTTTTATAGACAGAGTGCTTCCAACAATTCCCCTACAATGTTGCTTTACAGAAAACAGACCCTAAGGTTTTTTGGCATTAAAAATGTTTCTCAAATGCCATCGTCGCCCTTTTGATGCCTTCGCACCATACTAAGTTCGCTTTAAAAGTAAGTCAAACCTGAGGAACCGACCGAACGGTGCTACTTATGATCGTTGGTCACTGTATAGTTGATATGTGACAAAATTTCCGTTTTGACACAGAGGGTGGAGACCACAATACATTTGATTACGTAGGATGTAAGGGCGCACTCTAATACTAGGAATGTTGCACGTTCTCAAGCACTTTGTTAATAAGATTTATTACAAAACAATTTTTTCAGTACCAAACACGTAAGTGTACGAGTATTAGCGTACGCCCTGACGAAGTCCTAGCCTCCGTATAAAATCAAAACTTAATTATCACAATAACAGGACATAATTTGTCACATTGTATTCGTGTTTTTTTGAATAAGTGGTATTGTGATCCTTTTATGATATTTAGTTTATTTTTATATTTTGATGTTAACACATTTAGCCAATATTGTAGTGTACTGGCTGACTAAACAAGTAAGGTATACATACATATGTTTTGATTGAATTTGGTATTGTTGTCTTCACCCATAGATTATTCAATTTTCAAGCGAGATATTGGTGTTAAGGTGTTAAATGGTTGACGATGTCGAAAGTTATGTATAAAGGTTCTAACAAACAACATTTAGATTGACTTAACGTTGTGTTATAGATTTATATTACACAAATATAAGGTCCTATATTATTAGTCAAGTTACGGGAAATTCTACTGCTCTAATTTAAATACCTTTTTTTATGGAACAGCCTTTGCATACAAACTAGTAAAAACTGGATTTGCCCTAGTTAATATAGATTTTATGAAGATAATGATGTCTGGAGAAAAAGTTATTCTATTTCAGAATTATGGCATACGCACGTTGTAGAAGGCCATTACTTAGAAATAAAATAGGACCTTGTAAGTTGTTAAAGGTTTTCTTCCAGCAATAATAAAACTCAAACCTCAGTCAATAGTGTCTTAAGAATGTATTATGAAATAAGCTTAGGATAATAGTTAGCCTTTGGTTATAATTCGTTTCGTAGGAGAATGTAAAATATTAATATTTAGGTACCTAAGCTAGAGTGGGTAGGCATTTTTGTAATATCCACTCCAATGACTAAAATATGAAAAAAGTTGCTACACTTGAAAGCTTGTGTTTTAATTTCAACAATAGTAAACACCTTGTTACATCACTTCAAGTCTTATTATTTGACATAGCAGACAGTGGTGGACAAAAACTGGGTTGGCCAATATTATGACGGCAGTATTTGCCCGCCAATCTCTAATCGGGTTTAACCTTGGTTTCTGTACCATATTATTTTTTATGTGATGTTATTAAAAATAACACGAAGTCACGATCTTCAAGATTTAAAATACATGTGAAATTCATTAACCCCTCAGTGCTTCTATTATTGGGATGTATTAGCGTCAATGACTCAAGATTATATTGATATAAGGTCCAACAAATGTCAGACGTCGCGTGTATATTCTGATGTCGAGCCGATTTAAAACAGGTTCGAGATTAGGGACGAGTAGTACTTTCGATAAGGAAAGATTTAGGGCTGATTTTTCAATAGTCAGATAACTTTTAACTGAAGAATAAGTTTGGCACATTGACGGTTTCAGTATGGAAAATATGTCAAAATGACAAGTTTATTCCTCAGTTAAAAGTTATCCGACGATTGAAAAATCAGCCCTTAGTTGAATTTAAATGAGTCAACAAATAGTTATTTAAAATATGTAAACCATTTTATTGGTATGTATATAAATAGTAGTTTACAATAACATATTATGTACAAATTACAAACTGCCAACAGAACGAAATGGAAATTCAATTTCAAGATTTCAAAAGGTATAGGTCGCTCAGCGAGAGTTGAGGCGATCAACACAAGAGTTCGTACTGTTGAAACTGTTGGCCACAGTTCCAGCTAACCATTTCCGGTCATGTCCTCTCGTTCTATCGCAAATTCACTATTTGATGAGAGGGAGAGAAAAAAACGGAAATGGGTAGCTGGAACTGTGGCCGATAGTAGATACAAATATTACGTCAGTGTGAGTACAGTGTTCACCTCAACTTTCGTTGCGCAACCTGCGACTAGGTATCTATGTATTGACTCGCCCTAAAATAGTCAACGCTTATATTATTTTATTGATATAAAAATCCAAAAATAATGCAAGACCCACAAGCAATTTCAAAAACATTTTGCTTAGGTTTCTTGAACTGGCTGTCTTTCGGTGTAACTTCATTCCATACCTAAATAAGCTTCTACTTACAGCACCTAATAGCTTAGATTCAACGTTTTAAAGCTTTCCATTATACCAATGATCACAAACTTACCGAAATCACATCCATATTTCATTAATTCGGACGAGTCCAATTAAAAAAAACGATCTTATTACAATGTCTTAAGTCTATTATAAGGATTAATATACACAATGTACGAGTACACGAAGAGAGTTACATGAATCATCCGATAACAGACTCAAATCCTGCAATTGCTTCACAGAGCGAAGTGGTTAGCGTACAAAAAAAAGCCGGAGTGAAGCGATTTTGGAATTGAATCTTACTTAGTCTAGGAAGGCAGGTCCTGATAAAAAGAACAACATTCTCAGACGTAAACGTTTCTTTTTAAGTACGAACCGCATATTACGTTTCGTAAAAAATATTTATGTTTTGCCGCGGACCTGAGGATACACGCAACTGGGAAAGATAATTTTATGTAAGTATGTCCAAAACCATTTTCAACTTAGAGAGCTTACACGACAAATTTAATTCCCTACAAATTTTATTTGTTTGTTAATATTAAATGCTTTATTAGTTTTTTTATTATATTAAAGTAAGAGTTTACATTAGTCAGGCACTTATAAATTGATGAAGATTAAGTCTTAGGTTCAATAAACGTTTAAAAAAATCAAGTAGCTAATGGCGCCATCACTTAATTTTTAAGTTTTACTATACAATTTACAAAATCCTAAAATCTAAAGTAACATCCACTAGCTTTTGCCCGCGTAATATTTAGTTTGACACAGAATTACCGTCCAACTTGACACATATCGTTGTAATTTGACGAATTACTTCATTTTCTTATAAACAATGATACTGTAAAGTTCATCGAAATCCGTTCATTATTTTTAGTTAGAGAGTATCATCCATCTTTCCACTCTCACATTTACACTAGTAATGGGATAGGATAAGCATAATATTTTTCATAATTTTATCAAAGACTTTCGATTACTTCGAGGATATTCAATCAAGGGATACACTGCACTTCATTCCTACTCGTAAATAAATACCTAAAGATTTATATAACATTATTGATGTAAAATAACGACTTAAGAAATATACCTAAGTATTTCGTCGTTGGGGGCTAGACTTATTGCTTGGCACATTGCATGCGGAAGTGTTTTATACATTTTTCTCTTTTGTGAATCCTGCAATAGAGTACGCCATTGATGATTTTTCTGTAAAAAAGAAATAATCAAAGTTACGATATTACGCAAAATAAAGAATGTGTGCAAGAGAGACAGAAAGCGTTTGACAGTCTGACTACGCACTACGTCACAGATAAATGAACAAATAATTGCTTATGTTGATTGTCTCAACTCTCGCTGCGCGACCTATAACCAAGCACTATAATAGGTCTAGCGCTTAACTCGGTCAGTGCTTAAGGTGTGGGAGCGGCACGGGAGGGGTGTCACATGGTAACCTAGTACTGCTATAGTTACTATGTAGACCTATAGTAATAGATTGCCATATTAAGACGTGCTAGAGCATACAATCTAAGTCTTTCTGACATTTGATGTCTCAAATACAGCCTCCAGTGCCGTACCTATCTACAGGGTGTTTGGTAAATGGGTATATGAGCCGACACTAGCCCATGTTAACATGGGCATATAAATGGTATGGTGAAGTCAGAAAATTGATATCTTAAATTTAATTATTTTAATTTTCATACAAATCGGATTTTATAAAATTTATTTTGTATGAAAATTAAAAAAAATTAAATGATGATATCAATTTTCTGACTTCACCATACCATTTATATGCCNGTGAAGTCAGAAAATTGATATCTTAAATTTAATTATTTTAATTTTCATACAAATCGGATTTTATAAAATTTATTTTGTATGAAAATTAAAAAAAATTAAATGATGATATCAATTTTCTGACTTCACCATACCATTTATATGCCCATGTTAACATGGGCTAGTATCGGCTCATATACCCATTTACCTAACACCCTGTATGTATAGTAATAAAATATTACCTGATGGGCAGAAAAGTTTTCGCGTGGCAACCACGAGCCGGAAGACGTAGTGTGGGCAGGCCTCCCACTAGGTGGACCGACGATCTGGTGAAGGTCGCGGGAGGTGCCTGGACGCGGGCGGCGCAGGACCGGTCTTCGTGGAAAACCTTGGGGGAGGCCTTTGTCCAGCAGTGGACGTCTTTCGGCTGAAACTGTCTGCGGGTGTCTATGGGCGACGGTAATCACTTACCATCAGTACCTCTAGTAGGAAAAACTTTCGAGTTCGTTTCGTTGCGTATTCAAAGTGTCATCGAAAAATTTTGTATGAAAAATTAAACAGGCCCCCTATATTATAGCCGCCCTAGGGTGCGCTGTTTAATTTTTCATACAAAATTTTTCGATGACACTTTGAATACGCAACGAAACGAACTCGAAAGTTTTTCCTACTAGAGGTACAGGTGATCCGTCTGCTCGTTAGCTTCCTGTCACATAAACAAAAAACGAACGAACCTGTACTGCGTGCGGGTTGAGGCACACGGCGAGCGCGTGCCTGGCGCGCGTGAGCATGACGTTCATGCGGCCGGCGTCGGTGAGGAAGCCCACGCCGCTGGAGCGCGCCAGCGACACCACCACCACGTCGCGCTCCTGCCCCTGGAAGCTGTCCACCGTGTTCACCTCCACCTGCGCCTCCGACCTGCCATGGGAGAATAGGTTATTTGATACCACCAATTAATTGACGAACTAATAAAAAATAAAACAAACTGTCAAAACGAGACACGGGTAATACATGCTTTTGACGTCACTATTTTGCAAATCAAAAATTAATTACATAACTCTTTTTATCAATTACAAAGCAACCAAAAATTATAATTTACAGTTAATTTAAAATTAATTAGGTTTTTAAGACCAGAATGAAATGTGTTTTTTAAAAAGTTGTACTTTAAAATTCTTGGTGAATGGTTACTCAATGAGGGTTTTCGCGATTGAAAAATCCGCTAGATGGCGGGACGCGGACGTGGGGTCCGACCGCTGCGTGATTGGTGGATTTTGACATATCTATCAATGTCATGTCAAAAATAACCAATCACGCAGCATCTGGACCCCGCGTCCACGTATCGCCATCTGGTGGATCCTTCAATCGCGAAAACCCTCATTTTACAAAAAAAGATCTTAGTAATGCGGCTCCACACTACCGCGTAGTGCAAAAATATTCTCGTCGAAGAACCAACCTTGAACGCATCTTCGATTCATACGCGTAGAAATGGTTTTCCTGGAGCGAAATTTTAGGGTACATTTTAGCTACAGTTAGCGTGGACTCGTCTGCGGGACTATACTCACGGCTCGAGCAGCGCCCGCAGGCACTTCTTGATGAGCTCCTTCTGCGCGTTGTAGGGCGTGATGACGGCCAGGCTCAGCCCGCGCGCGCGCAGCCCCGCGCCCAAAGAGGAAGGATCAGGCTACATTTCAGCTACAGCTACGGTCAGGCTGGTACCCAACTAGTGTGCGGGACTGTACTATAAAATGTATATTGCGTGCCAATGCCGCGACACTCCCCACGCCTCCGTCTCGTTTCCACCCTGTATACTCACGGCTCCAGCAGCGCCCGCAGGCACTTCTTGATGAGCTCCTTCTGCGCGTTGTAGGGCGTGATGACGGCCAGGCTCAGCCCGCGCGCGCGCAGCCCCGCGCCCAGCGCCGCCACCAGCCGCGACACGCCCCACGCCTCCGTCTCGTTCGCGCCCGATGCGTCTGCGGAATTGCTGTCTCTTTTACACCGTACCAAAACAAAAAAGCTGTTGTTCCGTGTATCAACACGTTTTCACCCTACGCCGGTTAGACGTCAACTAAGCGTATGGTATGTCATTTGATATTATAATAACAGAATCTCCACTTAAGTGGCAGTAAGAACAGCGTAGCAATGATGATCGTTGGGACAGAAAAGTTCTCGACCGCAGAAGGAAAACGTAGTTTAGGCCGGTCTCCCACTCAATGGAATCTTTCGAAGGTCACGGGAAACACTTGGAAGCGGGCAGTTTAGAACCGGTCATCGTTGTGGAAATCCGTGGGAAATATCTTAGTCCAACAGCGGACGGCATTAAAATTTGGTTGAAACGACAAATCTTGTCAACCTGATTTTTTTATTACTGTTATGTAGTGTACATAAAATGTATTTATTATTAACTAGCTTTCCGCCCGCGGCTTCGCCCGGGTGGAATTTTGTCTGTCACAGAAAAACAATATCGCGCGCGAATTTGCTCACCGTTTAGACCTACCCTGGACTACGACAAACATTTTAAAACCAAAATCAGTTCAATCGGCCCAGTCGTTCTGGAGTTTTAATCAGACTAACGGATATCAATTCATTTTTATTTATATAGATAGATAGATATTCAGATTTCAGACTCACGTTGTCCCTTATCCCCGCTGGAGATCCCAACTATACAGTACGGCGGCAGCGGCAGCGGCGGGCGCGCGCGCGGCGCCGACGTCACGCGGCCGGCGTAGAAGGCGCGGTTGGGGTAGTCGGCGATGTCGGCGTGCATGCGGTACTGCTCGCTCAGCAGCGTCACGGCCGCCTCGCCGTCGCCGACGCCCGCCGCCCAGGCCTCCGCGCACGACGCGAGCCGCGAGAACAGGCTCTCGCCGAGGCCGTGCTTTTTCGCGCGCTAAAAATAACATTTGGTTCGGTTCCAACAAATTATAATGATTATGTCATTTCAAAAAAATACAGGATTTTAAAAGTTAAAACAATGAGGGTTTTCGCGAATGAAAAATCCGCCAGATGGCAATACATAGACGCGAGGTCCAAATGCTGCATCATTGGTTATTTTTGACATGACATTGACAGATATGTCAAAATCCACCAATCACGCAGCAGTCAGACCCCACATCCACGTCCCGATGCGAGCCGCGAGAATAGGCTCTCGCCGAAGCCGTGCTTTTTTGCGCGCTGAAAAATGACATTTGGTTCGGTTCCAACAAATTATAATGACATAATGAGGGTTTTCGCGAATGAAAAATCCGCCAGATGGCAATACGTAGACGCGAGGTCCAAATGCTGCATGATTGGTTATTTTTGACATGACATTGACAGATATGTCAAAATCCACCAATCACGCAGCAGTCAGACCCCACATCCACGTCCCGACGCGAGCCGCGAGAACAGGCTCTCGCCGAGGCCGTGCTTTTTCGCGCGCTGAAAAATTACATTTGGTTCAGTTCCAATAAATGAGGGCAATCGTTTTTATACTTAACAGTTGGCACCCCTGGCGATTGACAGGACCTTACTCTACAGTAGCGCCATCTTGATGAGTGCAAATGCGATAGTCCTCCTACCACTTTAGCGCTCACAAGTTTGTGCCACTGTCTTCGCTACTAGCAAGTGACAGGACCTTACTCTACAGTGGCGCTAACTGGTGAGCGCTAAAACGATAGCCCTCATTATAATGACATAATGAGGGTTGTTGCGAATGTAAAATCCGCCAGATGGCAATACGTAGACGCGAGGTCCAAATGCTGCATGACTGGTTATTTTTGACATGACATTGACAGATATGTCAAAATCCACCAATCACGCAGCAGTCAGACCCCACATCCACGTCCCGCCATCTAGCGGATCTTTCATTCGCGAAAACCCTCATTGTTTTAACCTTTAAAATCCTGTTTTTTTTTTCAAATCTCACGTCGTTGGCGAAATCGTGGTTATTAAAACCTGAGTCACTGCCATTTTAAAAAATAATTGACGTACTTTTTGAATAATTGACGGGCAAATAGATTTTAGGTCAGATAGTTTGACTTGCTCTTTAAAAGCGCCTCTCAGGGGGGCTGCCCTCTTCTGCTCCCCTCACCTGGATACGCCCATGTGCCAGGTGTAAACGGTAATTATTATCTGTATGGCGCAAGTAAGCTATGCAGGAAATTGATAGACCCCGTATTCACAAACATTACTATGAGGTCTCCCAGTGCGCGTGGACGCACAGGGTGACACACGAACCAATCACAGAGCTCCATTCAACGCTGTGCGTTCGATTTACTGAGTCACTCAAGCAAGCATCGTTTGTGAATACGGGCGTGAGACGTTAAACACCATCTCAGTTTTTTCTCCTTCCCCCACTCGTGCGTCTCCCGTGCGCGCCATTATGCATTTTCTATGAATTCTATCTAAAATCTGGAGCTAAAGCCTGGTCCGTGAGCACGTAGAATTTTGTCCAATAACCCCAAGCTACCCATCCTTATCGCTCGCGCGTAATTATGTTGCTGCGGGCGCCCGTCGCACAGTCGCGACAGCAATATAATTACGCGCGAGCGATAAGGATGGGTAGCTTGGGGTCATTGGACCAAATTCCACGTGCTCACGGACCAGGCTTTAAAATATAGTGCGGTTACCTGCGAGCAGATGTATCCGGGTAATTGCTGCGGGTCGCCGATGAGCGTGAGACGTGTGACGTCAAGCGTGAGCGGGATGAGCGTCTCGGGCTCAATGGCCTGGCCCGCCTCGTCCACTATGCACAGCGCGATACGCCGCTTTAGGCTGGAAAACAATTACGAAGTTAAAGCAAGGTTTTTTTATTTCTCACATCAGTGCTTTTCTTTAACAAAAAATTCAAAAGATACCTTAGATCAGTGGTTCTTAACCTTTAAGTCACGAGGGACCATTTTACCAAATTTCTATCTTGTCAGGGACCACTTTTTTTTTTCAAAGAGGAGGTCGATTTCTCGCCCGCTGTGCGCCGTTTGCGTTGTGTTGACTTGACTCCATCACGTGACGTCACGTCACTTGTTTATTACGATGTCTTCGTGGACCACTAGGAATGCCTCTAGGGACCACCAGTGGTCCGCGGACCACCGGTTAAGAACCACTGCCTTAGATAAAGACGTTAGAGATCTCATGACGTCATTGGTCATGTTAGAACGACACGCAGAGTCCCAGAAGAACGACGTCTCGCCAAGACCCGATTGATTTTGATAATATGTGGTGTCCTTATTTTCTTGTGCCTGAGTGAGATACAGGCCAAGAACTTTCTCGTTGTGAATAAAAAGAAAAAGAAAAGAAAGTGCGCTGGCCAGAAGTGTGCACTAGATAAGTCTATTGACTTCCTATGTTATTCTGAATGTAGGTTGAATGACAATTTAATATCTCCCTGGGACAAACTCGCCCTTCACAGGTTGGGTGTTTCTGGCTACATAGGAGTAACAGCAGTGGAAATGAGAGGTGAGAGTATTTCTTTGTCGTACTGTAAGTGCCTTTTCACACGTTCCGGTTGCCGGCTATCCGGCGCCGGGTACCCGGTGGTGAAGTGTATGGGCATGGTACGTAGCTTTCACATGTTCCGGCGTAATTAATCCGGCATGCCCATACATTTGACGCCGGGTAGCCGGCGCCGGTTAGCCGGCAACCGGGACGTGTGAAAAGGGCCTAAGGCTAAGTCCGCACTACGGTTTTTTCCCGCAAGCGGTAAACCTTCAAATCGCGAGACCTCCCAAAACGTATACGCGGGACAAAGGCGCAGTGCGGACGCTTGCATTAGTTTTACTTGGTTGTCCCGGGAAAAGTGTAACTGCCATTGTCAGCTAAAGTGTGCCATCAGGGTTATGAGATTATTACTATCTCATGTCCCCACCGCTGCAACTCCTGTGTAGCCAGGATCTACCGAGCTACGAGCTTGACCGTCAATAAAAACCCAACCAGTAAAGGTCAAGTTGTACCAGGCCTGTTCATCTCCGCGAGTTTATATCGAAAACAAAACACGCACGATGGCCCACCTACAGGATACTATTCGACAAGGCCTCACATACGAGCGAACATTGACTCACGCACGCGTATTCTTGTGTATGATTGAAGAAAATAAAGAAAATGGTGTACTAAATACTGTGCAGTATTTAACTGCCTAAATAATAATAAAAACACAGAATGTACTTTTTTAAGTTGCCTCAAGACACTAAAAGGTAAATAAGTAGTTAATATTATTCATGCTAAATCATGTATTTCCTCCGCCATTTTCCGCAGTTTGGCACCTCACGTCACATCATTTTACCAAAGTCAGCCCTATAGCTTCGGCGCAGTGCCGATCACTGACGTTTGTCAACAAAATGGTGCTTGACTCTTGAGACAGGCTAAATTACACCATATTGTTAATGACATTGAGCATACATTTTTTTAAAATACCTTCGCGAAGTAAAACTTCTGTACGTAGTACTTATTATTATTATTCTGTGGTTGTACTGACCCGCGCATCTTGTGGCTGAGCGCGCTGGCGAGCGTGGTGACGACGATGTCGGCGCGCTCGATGTAACGCCGCTCGACCGCCGCCAGTTGGTCTGGACGGAGCTCCTCGCCGCCGCCACCGCCGCCGCTGCGCAGCTGGTGAATATGATACGTTTATTATAGTTGTTGCAATTCACGAAGGCGAGTGAGCTTTGCATGTGCACGTACTATCGCCAACAGTGTTAACTGCCCATTGAAAGTCATGTCATCTCGTTCTATCGCAAAGAATCGGCATTTGATTAGATTGAGAGCAAAAACAGATGTGGATAGTTAACAGTGTGGGCGTGTGTACACACACAAGTAAAGCTCACTCGCCTTCGTAAGTTGCAAGTACTATACCTACTAGCTTTTATTCCCCCGGTTGCTCACGAGGAAATTGCCTCCGGAGGCAAATTTATTTCTTCCGTGTAACATTTAGATACGCATTATTTTAACTAATAAAATATAAGAAAATTACTAAAGCCCGGTCTGTGAGCACGTAGAATTTTGTCCAATGATCTCAAGCTACCCATCCTTATCGCTCGCGCGCGGTAATTATATTGCTGTCGCGACTGTGCGACGGGCGCCCGCAGTGAGTGTGCGAGCGCGACAGCAATAATGTTCCCAGTCTCCTCCAGAGGCAAATTAAATTTAAACAATCAAAAATAATGTATAAGGTAAAATAACTACAAGATGCTCAGTTCAACACCAATTAATATTTTCAATGTCAATTTTATTCACAGAGACACTCGTGAGTGAGAGGGTTAGCAATATCGGTAGACCGCAAACCACGGGAAATGCAAAATGGTGAAGTTCGGAAATACAGGATGTGGTTTTGTAAAACAACGCCCATCTCAGGGGTAGTAGTCGGTAGTACACATAGAAGTAATTAAAAGAAAAATATAAATACAATTTTAACTATTACTTTATTAGTAAAAAAACCTTGTTCAAACGTCTCCTAAAACATTCGAGACGGCGCTCGTTACCGCCCGCACCACCTCCGCTACATCACCTAGCACATGCGGCCTCTGCCACGGGAGGGCGCCCGCGTAATAATACCATTTTCCTGATTTCATGGATTTTTCCATGAAAATTTAAGGTATTTTTTATGGCATCAGTGTTGTGTACCACCCCGGAGATGGGCGTTGTTTTACAAAACCACACCCTGTGTGTTACATTGTTACACTGCAATGTTGGAAACTTTGTTTAAACGATACCGTCTAATTAGATGCAGATTTAGAATAAGTTGCCTCATCCTATAAATCTCTAATTATTTATGACAGAGAAACCGGTGGCGACGTAACTATTCTAAAATGAGCGTTTACTTACTAGTGCGATCCGTTTCGCAATTTCGTTGATGCGGCCCTCGCAGTAGGCGATGCGGCTGGGGTCGCTCTTGGCCGCCGCGTCCTGCACCGCCGCTTTCCACATGTTTATTTTTGCTTCTAGGCGGGATATCTCGAATTTGATCTGAAAATTAACGTCATAAAGCTTCAGATTAGAGAATCACTGCACTGCGCTGCTAAACTTGAACTTAAAAAAAGGCAGATTTATTTCGATTACGTTGCTGCATAAGTATAATAGGACCACCGTCAGGTTAATGTGGGGCGTGTAACTAGGTCCATTTGCCAAGCATTGGTAGGTAAGTTCGAAAGGGTTGCGCCCCTGGCGATGTTGATGAGTACAGTAGATCTAGAATGTGCACAGCGATAAGCCATTTTATCGATTTTACGCGATAAGTATGGACTTATCGATGATTTTCGATAAATGTATGGACATTTATAGTGTTTATAGTCGTCTAAAATCTTCGATAAGATTTTATCACTACTGCAAGCTAATGTAAACACCGTGGTATCTCATGTAGTTGTAATAGGTGCTACTTAAACTTTGCAACAGAAATTAGTCTGAATCTGATGTGGTATTAACTGTAGGTATGGATTAGCATAAATCTTAATTAAGTTCCGTACCTCCTGGTTGAGCCCGTGGCGGTGCTGCGGCTCCTTGGCCAGGCGCGCGGCCTCGCGCTGCGCCAGCACCTGCGAGCTGACGTCACGCGCGCGCGGGTGCATCGCCTCCGCGCGCCCCACACGCACCATGCCGAACCTATCGTCTGTAGGAAAAAAATACTAGTATTCATCCAATTTTATTTATTTTACCAATGGTCCGTGACCCTCACTCGGCATGGGGTACACTGAAAACCAGCGCCGTGGCCTTCGTCACCGTGGGCCACGGCATATGCTAAGTGGGGTCCCGTTGCAGTGGGCATCTTGTTGGTGAGTGGGTGGCACTGCTCAGTTACTCTTGTTTTTACTTTTTTTTCTTGTTCCATTATTATGTGCCACTGGCATGTCTATGTAATTGCCTGTATTTGTGTGACGTCCATTGTAATAAATGCATCTTTCTTTCTTTCAATTTGAACTCTATGCTGTGAATATACAGTTAAAAATTTTTTCTCCTAAGCCAGCTACTGCGAGCTGACGTCACACGCGCGCTGGTGCATCATCTCTGTCCGCCCCACGCGCACCATGCCGAACCTATCGTCTGTAGGTAAAAAATACTAGTATTCATCCAATTTGAACTCTATGCTGTGAAGATACAGCGAAAGATATTTTTCTCCTAAACCAGCTACTGCGAGCTGACGTCACGCGCGCGCGGGTGCATCGCCTCCGCGCGCCCCACGCGCACCATGCCGAACCTGTCGTCTGTAGGAAAAAAATACTAGTATTCATCCAATTTCAACTCTATGCTGTGAAGATACAGTTAAAAATATTTTTCTCCTAAACCAGCTACTGCGAGCTGACGTCACACGCGCGCTGGTGCATCATCTCTGTCCGCCCCACGCGCACCATGCCGAACCTATCGTCTGTAGGTAAAAAATACTAGTATTCATCCAAATTGAACTCTATGCTGTGAAGATACAGCTAAAAATATCTTTCTCCTAAATCAGCTACTGCGAGCTGACGTCACGCGCGCGCGGGTGCATCGCCTCCGCGCGCCCCACGCGCACCATGCCGAACCTGTCGTCTGTAGGAAAAAAATACTAGTATTCTTCCAATTTTATTTATTTTACCAATGGTCCGTGACCCTCACTCGGCATGGGGCACACTGAAAACCAGCGCCGTGGTCTTCGTCACCGTGGGCCACGGCATATGCTGAGTGGGGTCCCGTTGCAGTGGGCATCTTGTTGGTGAGTGGGTGGCACTGCTCAGTTACTCTTGTTTTTACTTTTTTTTCTTGTTCCATTATTATGTGCCACTGGCATGTCTATGTAATTGCCTGTATTTGTGTGACGTCCATTGTAATAAATGCATCTTTCTTTCTTTCAATTTGAACTCTATGCTGTGAAGATACAGTTAAAAATATTTTTCTCCTAAATCAGCTACTGCGAGCTGACATAGTGCGCGCGCGGGTGCATCGCCTCCGCGCGGCCCACGCGCACCATGCCGAACCTATCGTCTGTAGGTAAAAAATACCATAAGTACTACATCATTTAATCCAATTTGAACTCTATGCTGTGAAGATATAGTTAAAATAGGCTTCGAAGCCAGCTACTGCAAGCTGACGTCACGCGCGAGCGGGTGACCGCCCCACGCGAACCAGGCCGAAACTTCATTTAACCCAATTTGAACTTTACGCTGTGAAGATGTGGTTGAAAATCAATGAAAATAGTTTTCTCCTAAGCCCAAAGCTAATTTTCTGTGAGCTCTGAGTCAGTCGCGTGCGGGTGCACGCCGCAACGTGACGTCACGCATTTTGATTGGTGTTAAATATCAGGATGCGTGACGTTGTGGGAAAAGCCCTTGTTTTAATGCAATACTGCCAAGACTTCAGTTTTTATTTCTCTCGTATCGTTTTCTATTGCATTATACAATGCTATTTACTTAATCGCAAAAAAATTGAAAGACTAAATGTAACGTGTATGTGTCTTGCGCTGCTTCTTCTCAGCACTGGCCCATTTATTGTCCTGAAGCAGTGGTAGGGTTAATACTGGGACGTGTAAAAGTGCTTTTTTAAAGCCTACTTAAAGAAATAAATGAGTTTTACTGAGTTTTTTTACTAAAAAAATGGAACGGAAAGCTGTTTATAAATAATTTCTGTAGTGCAAACTTACCATTCGGCAATGTTTGCCTTATGTTGAGCAACCTAATAACTAGTTCGTCGACGGCGGCGTTGCTCGTGGCGCAAATTAAAATCTTGCCTCGGTTCTGTTGCTTGCTCCGGTGTTCGTCATAAAAGTACGACATCACTATAGAACATATCACGCTGGATTTTCCTGTATGCAAAGAAAGATAAAATACATTATGACCATTCAACTTATTAACGATATTATTAACATATGAGTGATATATGAGTTATATGAGATAAAGTAAAATCAAGGCCTCTTTCTAGTACATATAAACAAACATTTAATTAAGGAGATTGGACGGAGATGTCTCATGTCTCCAACAGTTTATCCACAGAGTCAGGTGTTAGTATTGGCTCCGTGCACGATTACAGCGCCAACTAGCGTCCACAACTTTGTGGGCTCTGTCACATTGACATTTAGGTCGTATATTTGTGAAAAAATATCGAAATGAAAAAATAACAAATATTTTCAACTAATAAATTGTTGTGATACCACGATTTGGGTGGAAAAAAGGTTTTGAAATCATTTTGGTCATTCAAATCAAATGAGGTAAGTCCAAAAAGTGTGTTTAATTTTAATTGTGTCAGGGTTTGTTTACTTCATTTATAGTTGTAGTTTTACAGTAAAACAAAAAGAAAAAGCTACTTTAACGGTTTCATTATATAACAGTCAATATATTTAAATGTTTCTGTATCGCTAGTAATAAATTAAATATCGTTTTCAGATCGAAATGAGTATCGTTTTGAAGACCGGGTTTGTGAGAGTTACAATATCAAATTCCAACCACAAACCGTATTTAAAGGAAAGTTGTTGGTATTGGCTGGACAAGTCCGAGATGTAGAAGAATTAAGAACAAAACAAGGGCAGAGTTCAATAATTCACGCTCTCATCATAAGGCAAACATCTGTGCACAACAACTACTGTGACTCATTTTTGTACTACCACGTTGTATAGTTTAGTTATTTCCAAATTGTAAACGGCTATTAAAACAGCCCTATCGAAATACAGTCCACTCTTTTATTTAAGTTCCCAGTAGGACCCTTTTCATGCGATTAATTAATGATATTAAAATGTATTATGTAGAATCGCTTTGCCATTGACAGATACATCTGATGACAGAGCTAACATTATTTCTACTTTTGACCACCATGAGCGCTGCGATAGATTATGTCCCCCCCACCTAGTACTTCGCACCCAGCGAATAGCCTGTAGATTTCTGCTAACACTTCAAGTTGAAGACTTCAACTCTATAGATCCGAACTAAATCTTAATTTTATAGTGATAAGGTTCGATTACGATTGATTGGAATACGATAAAAGTTTATCGTGGCTTGCATCCTTGGCCTACAGGTTAAGTGCAAGTCACCCAGTAGTAAAAGTAACAGACCTGTCCCAGGCGGCCCTTGCACCATCTGTATGCAGGGCCGGTCGCCCATGGCCGCCGACACTGACGATTCCACCGCCGCGTATTGACTCGGGTTTAGAGTTATCGTCCACTGCAAAGCAAAACACAAATAATAATAATAAGATATTAAGGTCATCTAGTGATAAAAATTCCACTTAAGTAGTAATCTGCGTTATTAGGAATATTTATGCTTCTGTCTCTAACTGCATAGATAATAATGTAACTCGGATGAGCATGTATAAAATTGTTCTGGATCAGAGTTTCTGGCTCCGATTATAAAGCACTACATAATAAAGCAAGATGCATATAATCAATTAATAGGAAGTACCTATATCGTTTCTTTTTTTTTACCGGTTTTCATCAATTAAAATAAAACGTAATATAACATGAAAAATATTGTTTTATAAGTTTAAGAAAGATATAAAAAATAAAAGTTTTGAAAACCTAACCTCCATGATAATAAAAGTAATGAAGGATGCATATTTACCGGATTTGTAATATTCACGCCAGGATGGTGTCTCCTCATAAAGTGGCGCGGCTCCGGCCGCAAGATGGCCTCGCTGAGCGGCGAGCCTGCCATATACGCCATCGATTCGAACAGCGACAGCTCTTTATTGATGTAAGCCAACCTAATCGCTGTCATAGGTTCACCTTGTTTCAACAACTGCATTTTCTCACTGTATGTGGCTTGCAGAGTTATGTTATAAAAGGAATTTCTGTTACCTGAAATAATTACAATGTATGCTAATGCTCTACTCTGCATGTTTTAAAATATAGTTTTTTAACCTATTAGCCGCCAATCCATTTCAAAAGTGGTTCTAATCCCGAGCGCCAAGCTATGGCGACAGAAACAGTAAGAGAAAATAAAGAAAGCATTTGTCTGAAATGTTGTGATTAGACATTGTCTTCTAAAGAAGTCGTGGCGTGGATGGCACGGAGACGTTTGTCTGCTATAGAAAAAGATGGCGCTGAAAAGGTTAAAAAATCATGAATATTGCACTTACTTTGTGGTGATGGAAGACATCTGATATGGTGTACGAAGAAAAACCTTTGATGCCTCACACTCTCTGGTCCGAATGTAACAAGTAATATTTCGCCAACCCTGGGCATATTCCTTGTCTCGGAAGTAGGCATTGAAACTGAAACAAACATTAGGATTAAGATATACATAGCTAAATACATACTAAAGCCTCTGACATTTTCGATGTTATTATTATTAATTATAATGATAATTAAATAATTTTTTTAAAGTTCAAACATCAAATCAATTCATGCATGTGATACAAATATAATGTTTACTGTCCCATACCATCAACACTGATATTAAAAGTATCAAAAATTCTCTCTTGAGTGGGTGCAGGTGGTAACGACGCAATGACCATTCTTATACCAACATCTTGATTACGCAGTTTCATATAAGCTATTGTTAAACATTCCCAAATTTCCATTAGTAGTAAATCTCCAATTAACCTAGAATTTAGATTAAGATTAACTGTGAATCCATAAACATGAAACAATATTAAGTAAATATTGATGTGTTCAATAGCTTGTAAAACATAGCTTGGGCATTATAATAATTATTATTTACGTACTGCACATATTGGTTGTGGTTGCTAAATGACTGGAAGACAGCTAAAGGTGGATTACTATGCCCCAGTATTGGTGGTGGGTCATTATTGTTTATTTGCTCCTCTAACCAGTGAGGATTCCATCGCAAGATTTTCATCAGAGTAGTTCTTTCTAGAGAAAGACAGGGCATTTGTCTGGTGACCCCTAAATTCGTTTGGGCTAAACTAGTTTTCTTCATCTTATTTCCATCCTCAATTGTGAAATAATGCACTTCTGGTGGTGCTTCCGAAAAACGGACCGTCCGTTTCTTTTTCTTTTCAATTAAATCTTGTGCCTTTGAATTAACATTTTCTATTGATGGTTTCAAGGTCTTTAATGATGTTTTTGAATCTGATTTACTACTTTTTGTAATGCCATTGCATTTGGGATCTTTTGGACAGTGTATAGTTTTGTTGTTGGAATGTTTACTTTCCTTTTTGTTAGACTTTTCTTGTAATTTGGTGCTGTGTTCAACATCATCTATTTGCTCTGTAGAGTTATTTTTCTGGACTTCTTTTGGGGACACACTTTGTTTTTTGATTTTGTCTTTTTTAGATTTTTCTTCTAATTTGGTTCTATGTTCAACATCATTAGTTTTATCCATAGATTTATTTTTATCTTCTGGGGATGCACTTCCTTTCTTTATTTTGTCTGTTTTTGTTTTTGGTGGACTTTCTTTTCTCTTTATTGGTTTCCTAATTAGTTCATCGGTTAAAAATGCTTGTCTGGTTGAAGATGTAACTTTTATATGAGACACTGACTTCGTAGATTTATCTTCTTGATGGGAAGAAACTGGCTCAGGTTCTTCTTTACCTTTCTGAGCAATTTCCTTTAATTTTCTTTTCCGTTCTTCTTTTTGTGAATTAGTTATATGGGATTTTGAAGTGTGTTTTGTTTTTTTATCATGCTTGGAAGATCTTTTTGATTTACCTGAAAGTAGCAAGGTATGTATAACATTAGTAAGTAAACAACACCACACAATTCAAAATTTGGCAATTCTGACTTTTGAATATAGGTAATATACTTGCAAGTGTATGAAAACTTACAATTTGATTGCTACTGGGCTATCTTACTAAATTATTAAAATTTATTCTATGTTTTTAACAATCATTAGATCTTTAAGACAAAAAAAAACCTGAAATCAAAAATACTTACTTTCTGGTTTAGCAGTTGCTTTGCTTTCATTCTCACTGGTTTTAGTGGATTGTTTTGTTTCTATGTTTTGAATTGTTTTTGTAGAGAGACTTGCTTTTGTACTAAGACCTATTTTTCTTTTCACTTGGTGTAGAGGTTCAATCATTTGTGCTTTTTTCCCTCCAGGAGGTTCTAAAACCTTGGTAGTAGTAGTTGTAGTCACATGGAGTGCTTCTTTTGTACAATATCCATCAATTTCATCTTTACCAGAACTAGGTGGACTTCTAGAATGTGAAAGATTTCCCATAAGATCAACTTCATGTATTTGAGCTTTAGAACTATTTTGAGCAGTTTGATTGCTTTCATAAAGTATTTCAGCAACAGCTTCTGATAATTCATTATCAGCATCAGGTGGTTGAGGTGGTATAGATATAGCTTCATCTAAATATTCGTTTTCATTGTTTAAATAGGCACTACAGTCAAGACCATCATCCATTTGGCTGTAAGAGCTATCTTCTGGTTTATTGTCCATTTTCTCTGGGATTTTCATAAATGGTTTACCTGGAGAGCTCTGTGACAATCTCAAGTACCAATGTTCTGATTCACTGTCACTGTCACTATCAATTTCAATAGCTTCATCATATCCTGAATATTCTTGTTTTACATTGAAAGCTTCAAATTCTAAATACTCATTATCAGTTTTTATTTCATTTTTGATTTGTATATTTTCTTTTTGAGGAAATTCATTGGGTTGATCACAGTTTGGAGTTTTTGGATTAAAGTTAGTTTCAATAAAATCCCTGCGAGAATCCCCATTGCCTATTGCCAATTTCAGTCCTTTATGATTTAAATTGGTTTCATTTTTGTTATGCATACATGTTTCTTTATGGGGCTCTTCAGATACTGGCTCTAATTTTGGTTTTTTTCTTAGTACTGTTTCAGGCTGTTTAAAGTTATTTTCTGTGTCGCTGTCGGAAATTTGAATTATTTCATCACCATCTAGCATATTAATAGGTTCATTTTTTATTTTATTGTTTTCTATTATTCTTGGCAAAGAATTAGATTCTAAAAATTTCCGTTTTAAAAATGGTTTGCTTTCAAATAAATCATTTTTAGTTGTTTCAGTGCCCTCCAAACTGGCGATTTTTTCTTCAATGATGTCTAACTCATCATCTTGAAAAGTTATCCTGTCTATTACAGACATTGGTTCTTTGACAACTTTGAAAACAAATTTTTCATTATCCTGAATTTTACCAAGTGGTACGTCTATAGCCCATCCGATTCCAATTACATCAGATTCCTTTATTGCGTATGGTATGTTTGCCGGAATTCTTTTTGTACCAACATATATTCCATTGGAACTCTGAAAACATTTTGTAGTATTGTTTACTGTACATAACCAAGTTACCAAGCATGCTTACATATTTACTACTTATTATAATCATATTAAAAAGAATGCATGTGTACAGATTAGTACTTACATTTAAATCTGTTATAAGTATTTGGTTTCTTTGAAACTTTATCAAACAATGTGTCCTAGATACAACTAAACTGGACAATGTTATGGTATTGTTAAATCCTCGGCCTAAAGACACTTCTTCTCCTTCCGAAAAGGAATAAGTTTCACTGCCGAAAGTTTGACGGCATAACTTCCACTTCGTCATTTTTACTAACTGAAAAGCTACCACCCAATACAACTTTTATATGTCTTTTAATTGTAACATATTATTAATTTCAACAGAAATTGCACGAAAAGGCGGTTAGTATTATCCGCATTTTAAGAAAAATTTGACAAGTTTGTATTGAGTATTGTGACAGTTCGCGTCTAAAATGACAGCTCTAAGTTTTTTTTTAACTGGAAAGAATATTCCCTGGTCAGAACATTATATTTAAACTGCCTACTTGTTAGTTTATTTTTAATGTTTTTTTTTAAATCTAAACAGTTATTTTATTGAATTTGTTTGTGTTTAATTTTATATCTTATCCCAAAAAGGGAGATATTATTTTGGAAATTTTTGACAATAGTGAGACCCTATGTTTGAGTATTTGGGGCATAGAGTTATTAATTTGGGGCAATAAAATGGAGAGAATTTAAACCACAGTATAAACAATACTACTTACTTATAACGCGCTGTAAACATTTTTATTTCAGTTTTGGAGTTCACTCATAACGGCGTCGAATATGTATTATTTTAAACCGATTTAAAAAGAACTTAATGAGGCTTAGCACTTTAGCAGCCCTTCTTCCATTTCAACGCCCACTTGTCGCCACAGTATAGTAAGGTGGTGCAAGGGCTAGTCCAAGTGGCTAAGGCGGTGGCGCTAACTAATCCAACTATAGGCGGAAATAGGAAACGGTAGCCCCAGTAGGTTTATAGCCCTCATATCAGGCCGCGGCCGCGGCGGCCGTTTGATGTAGTAAGTTAGTGCATACCTTATATACCTACTTAGTGGTTCGTCGTAACAAACTAGGTAGGTACTATGCCACATATCAGGGCTGCGGGTTCGACTTTCGTATTTGTATTGTTCTGAGTGTTTTCTATCTATGTATGTACATTGTACATTTTTACAAAAAGTACGAATTATATTAAGTACTGTCCTATGTATTTATATCAGTTATCTGGTACTCACAGTTTTGCTTAGTTTGGTATATGTATAACTAGATGGCACAGTGAAAAATGTCTAAGGTAAGGATATTAACCTATTATTATATATTCCTATGAATGATTTTGTTATACCTACCTACTTTCAGATTTTACTCGGACTGACTGAGAACCTAAGACTAACTGATTCAAAACTGTAATTCTGCACTGACTGAAAGTGCTGGGTTGAATCGAGGATCCTACTGCACGCCTCCCCACGGCCGATACTCAGGCGTATCATATTAATCGGTCTAGGAATAATCCTATCAAACCGCTCTTACTTACCTTCACCTCATGTGTACCATATTCCTGATATGGTACACATGAGGTGAAGGTCAGGATCTGATAATTTAACCGCCTCTGTGGTCTAGTGGTAAGACCGTCTGCTTCAGACGCAGAGGCCCCGGGTTCGATTCCCAGTGGGGGCAGATTTTTCTGTTCGGTTTGGTTGATGGCTTGGTGGCAGGGCTTGTTCTAAGTCCGCCTGGCTAGCTACCACCATCTTACCTAAGTCTGTCGCCCATAACAACAATGTTAACAGCATTGTTGTGTTCCGATGCGGTTAGAGGTAAGATAGCCAGTTCCTCCGTGGTTGAGGATTCCAGGTGAAGCTCGCTTCCACCTTCTGCCTGATCATCACTTATACCATCAGGTGAAATACAGGCCAAGAGCTTCGTTGTGGATAAAAAAAAATGAGATCCTGGGGAATCGAAGGAAACCCTCAAGTTTTATAGGTTACCTACATAATAACTTTTTCATATTTTTTTCTCTAGTTATTTAATGAGGACTATGCTTTTAGCGCTCACCAGTTGGCGCCACTATGGAGTTCCACTGTCTTTTTTGCTAGTGGCGAACAAAGTGGCGCTGATTACGTAGTTACAGGGGGACTATTGCATTTGCACAATGTAAATCGCCACTGGTTCCAACTGTAAAGTAGGTACATGTATTAAATTAAAAATGATAGCTTTAATTTATCGGTCTTAAAATAAACATATTTATTACAAAACCTTACAGCTATTATTTATTCGCGGAAAATACATGCGAGAATGAATGGGTTTATTCATAGTTAGTAGTTGTTATAGGTTTTATGTATTCTATCTTCTACCTTTCGGGATGAAAAATTAAGTACATTACAATCGAAAAGGCAATACCTAGTTAGGTAAGTTTATGCGGATTACAGATTGCAAGAGCTTTTAAGTTGGTTTAGTACAAATCAGCGTGTTTATGTGTCTAAATAGGGCGTGCATTTAATTAAAATTTAATAATGTGTTAAGAGACTTAGCTGCGGGATTCAGCAGGCCACGTCATGCAGTAAGTAGAAGCTTAGCGCAAAGCTTTCCAGCGCGAAAGTGTTTTCTTCGGCAGGTAGGTAAGAGTGATTACAAAATCTGTTTTCTTAATTACTTATCAAACAAAACTTTTACAGCTTTGTATTTTCATACAGTACTATAATTTATGAAGGATGTAAAGAGTGTCAATTTATTCGGTTCTTACATGGCATTATTCGTAGGTATGTTTCCTTTGTTCTCTGACCGAAACATCATGATATCGCAGAAAAATATTTAAGTTTTATGACGGTGTAGTTAAGACAATCTTTCCCTTGACTTGTCTTTAAATTAAGTCTAGAAAGAAACTTTAACTGTTTCCAAGTCTGGAAACTTCGTAAGAGAATGAAAATTTGCATTTCAACCAATCAACAACTTCGCTCGCCTTGTGCAGCAGCTATCGTTAAAATTTTAAACGGGCTTATCAAAAGCATTGACAACACGAAGAAAGAAGTGTTGTTGTTTAAGGCGGCCAACTTTATAATAAGTCAATGCGGGACACCCACCCCTATCCACAAAAAGACTTAGGATTTGTTGGACTTGTTAATGATGTACTTAAATTAGAAACAAACAACACTACTACCAAATTAACATTTATTTTTAAAATCATATTTTTCACATGAGTGGCATTTTTTAATAGGTCGTTTGTTAGGAGCGTTTGTTCCTGGCAAACAGAGTAGGTACTGGACGATGGCTAGGCAAAAGTCATTTGTATTTTCATGTGAAACACTTTTATGCGAGCAAAACGATGGGAAACGAGGAATGCAGGACATACGGGACGCCTCGGACGATTTGCGGGACTATTTTATTAAATATTGCAATGCGGAATTGCAAGTGTCATTACGGGACGGTCCCGCAGAATGCGGGACGGTTGGCCGCCTTATTGTTGTTGCGTTGCGCAGAGAAAGCTCTGTGCGGCGAGCGCGGGGAGGGCGGCGAGTGCGACCGGGCGCAAATAGCGGCAGGGCTTTTTGCTCGGGCGGGCAGTCCGCGCCCGCGCGCTCCACCGCCCGACGCTCGCCTCCTCGCTCTAAAGAGCTCCGCCGCGCTCCATCATCTTCGATCGCGCGCGATCTCCACCAACTCACTCACACCATCCCAAAGACCTCCGCCAAAGAATTGTTCAATCGCGACGACTCCTCATAAAACTTACTAACAGTTCCCATAACTTGGTGCGCCCTAACTACCTGTGAACTGATCAAACCTGGACCACCCAGGTGTGCTGGTGAACGTCCTCCGCCTCCACGTGGCTCTGGAATCGATAGCCCCACCTCTTCGTCTCATCCTTCTCAAGGTCACTAGGGGAGGTAAACAAAGACCGCTTTCATTCATAATTTAGATCAAAGCGTTAATGTAAATAGCCGTTATTAAAATAAGCTTCAAGAGAAAACGAATCGTGTAGTGTTATTTTTGAAGTAGGCTAAAAGCTCACTTGTGTACGAGTATGAAAAACTTCACGAAAAGTGCTTAAAACAATTTGAAAACGTTTTTGTTTCTTCGCTTGCTTGAGCTTGTAGTTATTTCCCCAAAAACTTCGATTACCTATAAGTTATTTACACAATGTAAAGTTACGAGTCGATTGTGAAGTGCATGACAAGCAGTGACCCATTTTCGCGATTTCGACATTCCGCATCTTACACATCGTTTGGCAATATGTAGGTGAGAAAATTTGCTTTCACGAATTCTCTGAAGTTTATTTTAAGAAAATGTATCAGCTGTCTTTGCTATTGTTTTTATACATCGTTTTTACAAATGTAAACCGCAAATGTTTAAAAACATATATTAATTAAGACCTATTTAATATTATTGAAGGGAGGAAAAGGATGGACCTGTCCTTACTGCGGTATTGTAGAGTTGCAGCCCAGTCCTTAAGGGATGGATTCATAAAACTCATTAGATGATTAATTTACAACTTAAGAATATTTTTGGTTTTTAAGCTACAAACACTGAAATGTCTTCAATTGAAATATCAGCGTCTAAGGAACGGGAGTTCAAAATGCATCAGTCCTTTTGAAGTCATTAAGTTACCAATGTTAAGCAGGATACTTAGACACGATGCCATTGTGTAGGCACTCGGAAGCATTTGTCCGAAGTAGCAGCCATTTGCCGACGCGTTCGATCAACAAATACGGTAGAACAAATACCTTCGGCTCCACCACCACCCTTTGTTTGCTGGACAGTTGCGTGCACGAAATTACACGTAATTCACGTACGATTACGTACGGTTGTAATAAATGCATTAAACCATTACAGAAAATACATTACAAACAGTCTCATTGTTGTTACCATAAACATGAATAATGACGTTCAAATGTTTTTGTATTCTCTATAAAGGTAAATAAGCTTAAATCAAATTATACAAATGCTTATACATATAAGCTATGTGACAAACTATATTCTCTCTGTTTATTTATATGAAAATTCGTAAATTAGTAATCTAAGAACATTAATGAAAAAAGCTCGACGTGCAAGCGATTGCATTCCTTTTTAATATAACTATTCAATTTTTTTTATACTTACTCATAATAAAAAGAACTACTTATTTTCCTTAGTTTAAACATTGCAATAGCTGACGCCTTGTTTATCAGCCAAAACTACCTATCAGTATCAGGCTAAGATAAAAATGTAATTCTTATGTAAGTAGATATATTATTTTTTGTGCATGTTAATTTTTTCTCTGCTTGACCCGTGGTTGACTGGTGGAGAACGCCAACCGGCATTTAAGTCCACCACAGTACTCTACTTTTGTGCAAAAAGTTTAACTAAATAAATAAAAAGGCTAAGCTTATCAAGTTTCATGATTGTACGTAGGTCAACAGGAAGAACCCTGTAGGTTTTGATTAGATCAGTTCAAGGACAACGAATTGACTTTATAAAGGCTGCATTTTCCTTTTCAGTTGCAGAAGCCTAGACAGTAAACAGAACATCATTCTACAAAAATCTGTGGTCAGTGTGCAATTTCAGCGACCTCGATAGTTTTTTTTCCATGAAATCTCATTAATTCAATATAAGTTATGTAGGGAGCGACTAAGCTTAGGCGCAGACCACCGATTTTTAGTCGGCCGATAGCTGGGCCCGATTTTTATTTGTATGAAAATCAAATAGGTGTAATGAGCGCACGTTACCTATACATGTCCATACTGATTAAAAGCCCGATCCAACTAAAAGACGGCAGTCTGCGCCTAGGCTAGGTTTGATTTCACCTAGATATTCAGAGAAAACTTTACGATAAATAAATTGCCATTTTCCTGGAAAACAAATAGGTTGGAAACATTATGCTATCGTCGAACATTCAAGAATGAACATTGACGAAGGGTTTCCCACAGAATTGACGAAATTACCGAATAGCCGTAAAATCTGTCAAGCGTAAAGAACATTGTAATTAATTAAAGCCTTCGGCCATGAATTATGTATGAGGGTAAGACTATTATTGGTTGGAATATACCATATTTATGTATATTTATGACAAAATATTCTATAAAACAAAAGTTTTATTAGCACAGAAATACACATTGATGTTGAAATAAGCTTCGTGAATAATTGATGCGGCTTATTGATGCTTACTATCTTTTGGTATCTTTAGGTTAATCTGCTCATTAATTGTCACTTTCAATTCTGATTTAGGGGTAAACAGAAAAGTATGTAGTACTAAATTTGCTCTTTATACTTTATAGTTAGTTGTACTATGTACTTCATGAGTTATTTACAGCCTGCAATTTCGTATGCGTGGAAATTGTTTTTCAGTTGGAAAACTTAATTGGGTCATAATATGACTACGTCTATAAAATTAATATTACTTATATAGGCTTACGAGTGGCAAGTAAAAAATAAAAATGTTAGATTTTTCATCAAAGTTAACCAAGGAGTATCAAAAGGGTGTCTCCGTTAATTGGATCATTTTTCTTTTGAGCGTGACAGGAGCAATTTGCAAACCCAAAAGATTAATCAAATGAAACCTAATTGCACAAAAGCTAACGTTGCTGCAGTATCAAAAATAACGTATGTAAAAAAGTAGATAGTAAAGTAATTGTCAATTAAAACCTCAACAAGCATCATTTTACGTAGGGTCTGTAGTAACTTACTACACTTACGCAAGTAAAAATAAAGCTAAATTGATAAGTTGCTGTTCCAAAGTATCATCTTGCTATCAAATGTAGAGCCTCTTCCTTGTCCCAAACCTCGCAAGTAACGTTACCTATAATTGGTGTGCAACTCCGAGGTATCGTGGGTACAACCCACTCAGATATTGATCCAACGTCTTACGACACCATAGCCGTACCTGTCTGTCTATTATTGATTAGGTTCATTACTACTACACCCCACTACATTACAAGTAGTATAGCTTCTAATTGTTTTAAAATCGACAAACGCTTAAAGTATGCAACGTACATTTAGGTCGAGTTTTTGTAAAGTAGAACTCTACATTTAACATAGTTCAAAGCTTATTGAATTAAAACTTTTATCCTCAAAATAGAATTTTCCTCAACCTCAACGGGCGTCGGCAATGTTTAACAATTTCAACGTACCTACACAATTATGTTTGGAACAAAGTTAGATTGTGCCTCAAAGTTGATGAACACCTCCGGGAACATCCCAGTTGCAGATGTTTCCAAACTTATCCATAGCAAACTATTATACAATACCTATCCGGTATTAAACAATACCTATTTATTGTAACCATCGGCATAACAGAGAGAAATTTAGATTTTTACTAGTAGCAGCATCGGATAAAATTTAGATTGGGGTCATTCCAATCAACTGTATGTACTCGTAACTGTATGTAGGTATTTATCTTTATCTAAAAGCTCAAGAAGTAATGTACGTACTTACCTTTTACAATTAAAATGTATAATTAAATTACTACACACCGTACGTAGGATATTTTGGGTAGCTTAATAGACCTTTAAAAATCCCTTATTACGTACTGCTACAGTGAAATATCTTAATTATTCAAGTACAACATTTGAAGCGGGTGACTAACTTTCCAAACGTAGCCATTATACAAAACTATCCAAATCTACAAATTCAGTAAGGGTTCGGTAGCCGAATAGTTCAAAGTAACGAAGTTTCATCAGAGTGTAAAATCTGATTAATTCCAAGTAGGTACGAGAAGGAGTTTTCCTATGAGATAAATGGCGGCGCTTAGGCGGGTTCATTCGAGATCGGAGGCTCTGTTGGCAACTGTCCAACGAGCCAGCCCTGACCGAATTTCGACGAGTTTACTTTAGACGTTTGGAAGGGGTGGAAAAATATTATCTCAGTTTTAGAATAACTTTAGTTGTTTTTCAGATGCTAAATTTATCGGCCCACTTGCGAAATAATCTTTACCTTTGCAGACATTGCCTAAACATAGGGTTGTAAAATTAGATAAATATTAAGCCTTTAATTTTTTCTTTGTCTAATACGTATCTGTATGTTTTAACTATTAGGCAATAATAAGAGGAACAAATTAGAAGCGGACTAGACTTAAAACCTCTGATTACTCGTAGTTTTTCTAAGCATTGTGTTACGGTTGCAGAAGTTTTTAAACTGTCAAGTAGATTTTTTGTGTTACCTTTCAATATCATTGTTAACGATAGATAAGTAATGTCTTTTGATTTGAACAAAGGTTACTTACTTAGCTTTTTATTCAAAAACAATAGTAACTAATTATCTAATGGCTTTCGTAAAAGTTTTCCCGTGAGAAATGTTAGTAATTTACTAAATTAAAAACAACCCTTTCCAGATATGATAGTATTCATACTGATTATTATAACTCTTCCAATTTTAGAAATTGTTCTCACAGATACAGAAGTTTCCATATTTATACGAATGTTTGTGCAAGCAGTATCAAGCATTTTTGTTTTGGTAATGAAATAATTTATTCATTATATGGTATTTGTAATTAAATGAGAGTCGCGTGGCCTCTTCCTCGGTTGGCACGCGTTCAGGCAAATACGCGTGCCAAACAAACTCTTCCTTTGGCGGGAATATGAAAACACTGGTAGGTAGTGAAAAGAGTTTAATACTTCGTGGTGAGATAGAATTTTAAAAATAATAAAGTTAAGTGAAGTGAGCACGTTTTTTTTTATGTGACAGGAGGCAAACGAGCAGTTTTCTTACATGTTGAAATAACAGACACTTACTAAAAATAGTAAAAGCGTTAATTAACGGATTAAAGAACGAATTGTAGTCCCTATAGAGTTCAATGATGAATTGCTTCGTGAGTAAATGAAATAAAATCCGATTACCAATGAACAATTTAACAGGTTTTTTTTCGGAGTAAAATTTTATTTAACATTGTAAATTATACCTATATTTTTTTATC